TATGTCCATATGGTCATCAGAAGTGACTCAAAGGCATCTTTTCCTTTCATTCCCACTAATTTTACAACATTCTGCCTGTTAAAACATGTTGGCTACATTAAACCTAATGCTATACAGTAGCCATAGACTTCATTTTTTGTGGTTTGCCTGTAGATCATTTTAGAAGTCTAGTTTAGAAATACCAGACTGGAAAGAAAGAGGTCACATCTACGGCTAGAACAATGGGCCAGTTCAGTCATATCTAGAAACCAGAACTCTGACTTAGCCAGAACAAGTGAGATTTAGCTGGTACTTGCTGTATAATTATTCTGCTTGGTTCCTCTTGCCAGCAAGAGCAGATAAATCATCTGTTGCTCCATCAGTGGTTGGTTTAGTGTTGCATGCAAGCTGGTCCCTCTGTCTCTATGCTTTCCTAATGTGCCAGTTATGTAAGTAACCTTAGCTGGGTGGAGCAGCAGAGTGTACCAGTATGTTTTTCTCAACCACAAGAAATAAGACCTGATCAGGGTGTATGAGCATTGTGTGGTAGAGTTTGGGATTGTTCTGCTTCAAGAGGTTGTTGGCGGTTAGCACCATGTTCTTTCTCCCTGCCTTCTCGCCAATCAGTTTCCAGACATTTACTTTGGCATTAAAAGTTCATCTGACTCCAATCTAGTAAATTTTGGAGTCAAAGAAGCCGTATTTCAAGGGCTGGAGCTTCTCTGGTTTTTGGACTGTACCTGCTTCTGCCATTTGAAAGCCACTAAGAAGGTGCCTCAAAGAAATGATTTGCCACATTTGAAAAAACCTCTCTGGTGTTTCCTTATTGTCAAAAACTGGTTACATAACCAATACATAGAAGGAATATGACACAAGATGCTTTATTTTGAATACCAGTATTGTCTCCTCCTCCATCCCCGCTGAATTTCTTCCCCAAAGCTTGGATGATAAAATGCAAATCAGATGCTTTTCCTTCTGGGGAAAAAAAAAAAGTTCTATGACCTCTGGAATTGTTTTAAACACACAGGTGCAGAGAATGGGTGTGCAGCTGAGCTGCTGAAGCAGAGGCAGGGAAATCAGTCCAACCTCAATTACAATTTTGCAGGAGGAGAGAGGAGATAGGTCAGGAAAAAGCTACGCCATTTATTTATTTGCTAAAGTTATGCCCCTCCCAGAGCCATAAGCTGGGGGCATGGTATACATTTGGTAAGGCTTAGCTTGGCCATCCATCTACTCTCTACAGAAGGTAAAACATTTTAAGAAATGAAAGTCTCTTCCAATTTGTGGATTAAAAAGGAACCTCTGGTGAATTTGGCTATTGGAATGAAACTGGAGTGGAAGGAGGAAACTAGTATGTTTAAAATGTAAAAATGTAAACTCTTAAAATGTAAAATTTTTTAAAAATTTAAATGTGGGGTGATAGATGCTCAGATTGTTTTGAACCTGATCCAAGCAAAACGGTTACTGCTTGACAAAATGAGTAATGGCCATTTTGTGGATGTATGGTAATTGCCATTTTTCTTTGGAGTACAAGTGGTGGTGTATTTTGGGAAGAATGAATGGCAGCTGCTATCCATCATCACCATCATCATCATCATAGAGGTCTGCTCTTTTACCATTATTGTCAACAAAAAAAACTATACAGACTTTTTTCTAACTTAATGCCAGTCTGAAAAAAAGACTCTCCTTGTATGTGTCTAACAAGCAAACCATCAAACAAATAATAGTAACATTCACCCATGTATATTGACCTTTGACAACATAAAGCTTCTTTGTCTCTGAGAGTTGTAGGGTGCCTGCTCAGAGAACAGTTTGGGTGGTGAAGACCCATCATCATCCTTAGGTCCGTGTCTTCATTCCTAACAATCATTCCAGAGATATGGAAGCAATCCAGATATATCCCTCAAGGCAGTCTTCTGGTTCTTCTTCTCTTTCCATCCTGCTGGGTGAAAAGGGATAAAGGATATTCCAAACATATGGAAAATTAAGCTGAAACCCTACATTGCTAGCCCTTTGATTCCTGCATTTAAAAAGCTGTGGGAAGAGACGGAATCTCAGAGAAGGCCCCTTCTGTAGCTGGGTATTCTTTGGCTTGTGTAAAATGGGGTGTTTTCTTGTATCTGCCAGCATATTTTTAGAAGGTGCATCTAATTATTGAGATTTTTTTTAAAAAAAGGATTCCAGATACAGATTACCGGGTAACTAAAACAGCTGCCTATTGAAATAGCAAAGAAGGCATAGTGTGCTTCTTAATAAAATGTGGAACAAAAGTCTTAGCCTCTGTAAAGATTTTACTTGCCCCCCAAGTATTGAAGCTCCCAGTATAGATCCTCCTTGTCCTACGGGATGATCAGTATCTTAATATTCAGCTTGCAACCTGTGATTACGTGTGCTTGCAGCAGTCTTATTCCTGTTGCTTATTTTCCCATTGGATTCTTCCGAACATTTGTCTGTAGCCTTTAATAACAATAATAATTAAGATGATGATCACGATGCTGCTTTTCTTAAATATTTAGTTTTGAACCCATAATTAACTACTGAATGTTAAATAGGTTGTTCCTCATTGTAGGAAGGACAGTGGTTCCCATTGCCATACTTAGCGAATCAGAATTGAGTTTCTAACAAAAGATCATAGAGATTGCCTTGGGCAGTAACTGTGTAAGAAGAACTTCTAGGGCAAGGAGGAGGTTACACTGAAGGTTGTGTCACAGCTGTAAACTTATCCTGCCTTCCTGAATGCAGAACAGGCTGTTCTGGAAAAGAGCACAGTCCAGGCGTAAGAGCTGGAGAGCAAGCAATCGGTCCAGGCCTCTGACATAACATGCTGACTCTCACCCGGCAGAAGGAAGAGAGAACAGGGGTAATCCCGGAACCTTTTAGCACTGGCTTAGCCCGAAACTACATTCAGCCCTCCCTCTTACTGGCAAACAACTGTTAAACAGATTGTTTCCAAAGGAATGGAGCCCTCAAGAGAGAAAAACAAATTCCCCAACTATCTGTGTGCATGTAACAAACTGTGATCTGACTTGCATGAAAAGGTACCATCTCAGCAAAAGCCCTGAATACACCAGCCTGCCTTAGATCAGGTTGCCTACATTGCTGAGAGTTTTTCCAGGGATGGCTGTCTTCTTCCATTTGGGGATTCTTCAGACTATAAAACATGGCCACACTGACTGGAGATAATGGGAGTTGTAGCCAAAACATCTGGAAGGAACCAAATTCCCCAGGCTTTCATGCCATGTTTTATATGTGTAATTCATGTCCCCCTTTCTCTGATATAAAACACCAAAGCTGCATATGGGAGATATTCCTAGAACTGGCCTTGGAAGTTTTTCATGGGAACTACTTTACTTCCTCCCCAATAATGAGGTTGTGTGGCCTTAGCCTTCTCTTCTTTTTCTAGGAAGATCAGTAGTAGGTAGGATTGCTAGGTAATACTGTATGTTTATACCATCCAACTCAAACAGCTCTTGGTGGTTTATAATAGCTTAGAGACAGAGCTCTATTTTTTTTTTAACAGCTCCATAATTAGGATAAGCTAAGCTAATTGGAAACTAAGCAGGGTCAGACCCAGTTAGTAGTTGGCTAGGTGATCTCCAGAGAATAACTGGGCTGTAGGCTAGATTGGGAAGTTGAAAAACATTTGCACTGCTGCCAAAAATATCTATATGGCCGTGTCCATGAAATCACCAGGAGTTGAGCTCAACCTGAAGGAGATTACCTTTGTGTACCAGGGAGTAACAGAATTAGGTCAATAAATCTGCTGATCACTTAAGCAGGGGGAAAAAAAGGAATCATTGTTACATGAGCATCTGATATACGTTAGCTTCATTCTTCTCTGAGATACAAAATTTGGTGTAAATAAGCCACACTCTGTTGATGTGTGAAATAGCTCTGGCAGGATCTGGACACAGTCTTGTTTTTGGTGGGGTTTTCTGAGGGTTCGCTTCCCCAGGAATCTCACCTGTTCCGTCATTGGGCTTGGCTTCAGTATCTGATGAGGTTGACGTTGCTGTGACGGAGGCTGGGTGTGCCAGCTGCTCCTCTCTTGGGTGTCTTTAGTGTGGTAAGAGCTCCTAATGCCATGCTCCAACATCCACTGTCCTGCTTGTGATCAAGGAGGAAACCTGGAGTAGGGTGGCCTCTGGAAGTGTCCCAATCACGTAGAGGAATGCTGTAAGGGAAGGCTGCTTGAGAAGTCTTAATTAACCCAAAAGACCAAAATGTTGCCCATATAAACATTCCAAGGGAGAAATAGTTACTTTTGCATGACCTTGTACTGGCTTCTGATGTTCACCTGCCTGAAGGGCAAATTGTTCTCATTTGTTCCTGCTGGCATCTTTATCTACAGCATATACTTTTCAGAAAGGCTTTGCTGAAAAATGAATGGTTTCTCTGGCTTAACTTGAGTTATGTGTCTATGTTATATAAACATGCATAAGCATTTTATGTAATGCAGTTCTGTACAAATTCCAGCTTTTGTTAAAAAGAACCCTTGTGTGGTACCATGAAATATATCAGAACGTTCAGTTCCAGGATCACCCCTAGGATGGGTGGAGAGAAGATTAAGAGACAAAATGCCCTCAGCCTTGAAGAAAGGAGTTGAGTAATTGAACAGCACTGGCCTCTGACTGTTCTCTCCCTTCCTCCATAAATATCACCTGCAGGTAACGTGAAAAGTGTAGTAGAGTAGAAGGGTATTACCAATCCATAGTAGCAGATAATTCGTTCCTCCTTTTCTGCTGTTTTTGACGGTTGCTCATTAGACACACTACTTCATAAGTGGTTCTGTTGCTAATATTTCTAGCAGCATGCACCAAACTATGAAAGCTAGCCGGTCAAGGACACACACACACTCCTCTAGAGAGCCCAAATTCTAGGATTGCAGGACTGGTGATGGCAAGACTCAGACCTAAACAGATGCCGATCTCTTGTCCTGATTGTCCAATCAAAGTGAAATTGATCTAGTGACAATAATGGAAAACTGATGCCCCAATGCTTTTTATGTTTCTCTGCTTTAGAATGAGTTGAGGCCTCGTCTCTGCCAGATGAAGAAGGGTCCCAACGGTTATGGATTCAACCTCCACAGTGATAAGACGAAGCCAGGGCAGTATATCCGGGCTGTGGATCCAGATTCTCCAGCTGAATCTTCAGGGCTGCAGCCTCAAGACCGTATCATTGAGGTATGAATTGTGGGGTGCATTGTTGTAGATGAATTAACATTTGACTAACCAAGATACTGTCTTCTCACAGGGAGCTGATTAAATGTAACTTGCGATCCAAGAGTAGTGCCAGCTTAGCCTTTTCGAAGCTTTTCAAAATCATCTGATACACCCTGCTGTTTTTAAGCCAAAGTAAACAGTCAGTGAAACATGAGAAGTAAAACACCCATTACCTGATGTGAGAGGAATTTTTGTTATATAGCATTTCTATACCCTGCCATAAAAAAATGTAACTGTGTCTTTCCCAAATGCCTTGAACTTGCAAATGGGTGGAATTCTAAAATTATTCCTTGTCTGAGACCTCACCCGTGTAGGTGTGTTTCCTCATAGATCAATGTAAATGGATTATTTTAGCATAAATTGAGACCTTTTTTCCTCAGCTCCTCCTCAATCTTACCTGGCAGCAGGGTTCACCTGGATCAGTGTTTCTCAACCTAGGCCACTTGAAGATGTGTGGACTTCAACTCCCAAAATTCCCTAGCCAGCCATGCTGGCTGGGGA